TCTGCCAAGTGACCCTGTGTAGGAGGAACAGTCTCTATTCTGCTCTGTGTCAGTGTGTATCATGGTCTCTGAGGACAGGTGTCAATCCATATCTGCCAAGTGACCCTATGTAGGAGGAACAGTCCCAATTCTGCTCTGTGACATTGGGTATCAGGGATCCTTAGGACAGGTGTCAATCCATATCTGCAAAGTGACCCTATGTAGGGGGTAACAGTCTCTATTCTGCTCTGTGTCAGTGTGTATCATGGTCTCTGAGGACAGGTGTCAATCCATATCTGCCAAGTGACCCTATGTAGGGGGTACAGTCTCTATTCTGCTCTGTGTCAGTGTGTATCATGGATCTCTGAGGACAGGTGTCAATCCATATCTGCCAAGTGACCCTATGTAGGAGGAACAGTCCATATTCTGCTCTGTGTCAGTGTGTATCAGGGATCCCTAGGACAGGTGTCAATCCATATCTGCCAAGTGACCCTATGTAGGGGAACAGTCCCTATTCTGCTCTGTGTCAGTGTGTATCAGGGATCCTTAGGACAGGTGTCAATCCATATCTGCCAAGTGACCCTATGTAGGGGGACCAGTCTCTATTCTGCTCTGTGTCCGTGTGCATCAGGGGCTCTGAGGACAGGTGTCAATCCATATGTCAAGGTGTCAATATGTCATATGTCAGGTGTCAATCCATATTGATTGTGATTTAGGAATGTTAGGTGATTTCTGCCCTTTATGGATTAAAACCAGACTCTGTATCAACTGTGTAATTTTCCATGGGAGTTTTGCCATGGATCCCCCTCCGGCATGCCACAGTCCAGGTGTTAGTCCCCTTGAAACAACTTTTCCATCACTATTGTGGCCAGAAAGAGTCCCTGTGTGTTTTAAAATTCGCCTGCCCATTGAAGTCAATGGCGTTTCGAGTTCGCGACATCACTACTCTTCACATTAACCAACCCTGACAGATCCCTGACACCACTAATGATAGAAATAGAACAATATCACTATTTGTCCAACTTTAAAGTTAACTTTTCTAAAAGTGAAATACTACCACTGAAACTAAACGCACAAGAACAAGAGACCCTTCAAAATCGACACCCTTTCACGTGGGCACAATCCCGCATCACTTACTTAGGGACGAAACTTGTCACAGACACTAACTAACTATTATCCTTAAACTACTCCCCTATGATCCACACGATCTCAGAAGACCTGACACGCTGGCATAAGCCATAATTTAGCTAGCTGGGAAGGATTAACATCATTAAGATGAACGTTCTCCCAAGACTCCTTTACGTCTTTCAGACCCTTCCCATCCACATACCAAAATAATTTTTTACCAAACTTACACAAATTTTCACTAAATTCATATGGGTAAACAAGCAGCCGAGGATTTCATATGACGTCCTAACACGGTCAAAGGTAAGGGGGTGGCCTAGCTATACCCAACTTTTATCAATACTACAAAGCAGCCATACTAGCTAGGGTGTATGAATGGACAAACCCGAACGTGCACCTACAATGGGTCACATTGGAAGGCTACTTCTTCTATACCCCGATCCATACAATCCTATAGCATCAATCAGGACTGGCTTTCATGAGATCCAACCACACTGCTCACCCCACCATACCACCTACACTACGAATATGGAGGCAAATTAAGGACACGAGAGACATATCAACATACCCGTCCACCCTATACCCATTAACCGGCAACCCGCTAATCCCCCAGGTCTACAAACCAGATTGTTTGAATTCCTACAAACACCCAACACATCCACAAGTCTGAAACTGACAAACATCCTGGAAGGAGCACGGGTCAAACCTCTGGACAAGATAGTGACTTCTCATTCCCATACCACCCTTCAAACCTACCAGTATCACCAACTCACACATTTTATTCACTCCATAGACAAACTTGTGCAGGGGAGCCGCACACTGACAACATTAGAAATATACTGTGAATCACGCATGCTAAAGAATAAGCAGCTGTCTATGATGTATAAACTCTTGCAAGAGAACACTACACTCACTATGCCCAAATTTATGCAACACTGGCAACAGGACCTTCAGATAACTATCACAGAGGCAGAGTGAAATAGCATATTTCGCACAGCACATAAATCCTCCATGAACACGAACACCCAAGAAAGTCATTTTAAAAGACTTGCAAGATGTGCACTACTCACCCACCAAATTACAAACCATATACCCGAACACAGAGGGTAAGTGCTGGAGATGCCAACAGCCTAAAGGCACTACAGCACATATCTGGTGGCACTGTCTAGTAATTCAGGAGTTCTGGTCTAGAATAGGGAAAATTATTAAAACAATAACAGAATCATTAATTTTCATGCTAGGACCAGCTTGACTGCCCAAACATACCAGAACAATGATAATGCACCTCTTAACTGCAGCCAACCTTTTAATCCCAACCAAATGGAAGAACACAACTCCCCCTTCTACCAGGGAATGGATTCAGAAAACGGAAACGATCAGACTAATGGAGGAATTCCAGACCTCTCTTTCCCATAAATATGACCTTTATCACCTGACATGGGAACCATGGCTTAAAGTTTTATCTAACACCCAGAGGCCCTCATAAGACCACAGGGACCAAAAAGGGGTAAAAATAAAGGGATATATGAGGATACATGACACACAAAGGGAAAAGTATATTTTTGTCTGGGGAGATAGAGAGTATCCAAGGGTCCCCAACCCGCATCACCAACAACACTAACGAATCTAACACTAATAACTAAAGAATGCACAGTTCCCTGTTTTTTCTTTTTTCAATGTTACTCTACAATTGTTAATGTTACATGTTTTTATTGCTAATGGAGACCAAGTACTATGCAATTGTGTGTATTACAATGTAATCTTTCTATGTACAAACACTTCATTGATGATTGTAAACATTCTTAACTTAAAATGTACTTAAGTGAAATGAAAATCATTAAAAACAAATAATTAAAAAAAATAAAATAAAATCGGACACAAATTCCCGAACACCACTGGACTTCCATCATCGCAGCATTCAGTTCTGTATATCCTAGTAGAGCACTGTTCAGTGGAATCGTTCATCTGGATGAGGGGAACAAGCTCCACAGTTCAAATATAGACTACGTTCGGTAGTTATTTAGTTTTTATGCTACCAAAATTGACCGACCGCACACACTTTTCTCATGGAACTATTTTGGGCTTAAGCCACATGTGCGGTCGGTAAAAAAAGGGACTTCCAGGGAAAACCTGAACCCCTGAACCGATCTGGGTGATTTTTGGATATGTTGGTCACCCTGATTTTTGTTGGGTTTTGATGTATTTTGGGGATACTCTTGGGCTGTTTGTAAATTGTGCGTTTTCTGTACCTGGAGATAATTGAGTTAGTATAGTTCCTGACTCAATTATCTCTCAGGCACAGGGGAGGGATTACCCTGTGATTTTGTTTGAGAAACATAAAAGGCTGTGCATAAAGGCTGTGAGTGGCCCTGAATAAAACAGATTACTTCCCAGCATTAAGCCTTGACTTGTGTGGGAGAGAATGTGATACTGGCGATAATTACTTGGAAGGGGTGGAATTGTGGTGGAGAAAAAAACTTTCTTCAGGTGGAAGGGGTTTTCAGCCACACTTTTTTTCCCCACCACAACTCTTTTGGTATGTACTTTTCAAGTAATCCCAAGCCTCTATAGCAAGCCGGTAACCAACCTAATGCTGATGAGTTGCATTGACAAAACAGCTCTCCATGAGTGGTTCACTGGCTTTGCTCCTCGTCTTGAGTTGTGTTTCAAAGCTGTTGTATACAGCAGACACATACACCAAGGAATCCATGTATAAAGTGGAATTATGAGGCAAAAATATAGTTCTTTGTTGAGCTCATTTGCATATGCCTTCCCAGATTCCCTTGCAGTAGAGAGGGCACTGTTAAAGTGAGATTTCTGTGGGACCCCCATAGGTTTTAATGCAGGAGGGTAGGAATTAATATTATTTATTACAAGGAGGCAGCTGGTAACTCTGCTGGCACCCACCTTGCTTTTTATTTTTTGTGTGCATGCCCAGTGTTATTTTCGTCAAGCACAGGTTAAGTCACTTAACTCATGCTTGTAAGAGTCTCCTTGAAGCCTTGAACGGGTTAAGTTTCAGGCTGCAGGGAAAACCATCATTTTTTGTTTCTGTAACGGATCACCGGGCACCCCGACTGGGCACCTCTAGCTGACGCCAAGGACCATAAGCACCGCACCGGACACCACAACCACTGCAGACTCCACAACCACCGTAGCTTAACTGGAGTCTCGCCATCTTCCTTCCACCCTGGATCAGCCTCTGTCCTCCAGGACCGTGTAGGAAAGACCTCTCCTCCAGGAGAGGGTATCATACTGTCATTGCAAGCGTCTTGTTCGTGAGATTCTTGACTTAGAATATCGCTCCGTTCGTATGGATTTAGCCGTACACACGGAAGGTAGAAGTCTCAGCGATGTTCGTGGAAATAATACCCGAAACTAGTTCCATGCATTCGACAACCAAACACCGCTGAGCGCGTTCGGCTAAACAAAATGGCCGCCGCCACGTGTTCGTTCATACGAACGCTGACCACCCAGCCGTTCATCAATTAAACTGCGGTAAGCCACAGCTCCTGGGAGGTCAATGAGCAGCACACTCCAATTGCGGGTGGTCTGGCCGTTTGTCAGCTTGTTCGGTAAATGAACACCTCTAACACAATCCATTCGGCAAGCCCCATTCACTGATCCATTGCAGGAAAAACGTACGAACAACAGTTTTTCCCAGTC